GTGGGGGAGATTCTGGGCGGCTCGTGCTGTTAGGCAGTGGCTGCAGCAGGGGTTGGGGGAGGGGCCACCAGCAGGGGTGGAACCCACACACTCTCAAACCCACCTGGCTTTTCAGTCCTCCTCCGGAGTTGATTACTCTCTTCGCAGTAAGAATCTGCAGCTGTCTCTGCAGCAGCTGCCACAGCCTCCTCCCTCAGAACCCAGCTTCGGGCTCTGGACCAGCCTCTCACACATTCGCTGTGGGCATGAATCCCCTGGGCTCCCGCGCCCTGCAGCGTGGACCCGGCAGGCCTGGGCCGGGGCCTCACCGGGTGCTGGGGCAGCGCCCATCCCACGCACCAGGCCTGCACTGCAGTGGAGGCCAAGACAAGGGGCTTCTTCCTGGGACGCTGCATGGTGTGAGGGAGGAATGAGAGCTCAAGGTGGTGCCTCACTCACACAATCCCAGGGTGGGGACGTGTGATAAACACCAAGGCCAAAATGGAGTGCTGGGCACCCAGGAGGCCTTGGTGTTTATCACCGAGTTCTTGGTGAAGCGCAGAGCCAAAGGAGGCCCGCCACTGCCTTGGACGCCTCTCCTTTGCAGGGAGCCTTCTGTTGGGATGGGTGAAGGTGAGACCCCCTGCTTCCCCAGCCCTGGGTGGGCAACCGAGCGGGTGGCCGCAGGGACAGGTGGGAGGTTCCTAGGACTCTCTCTTGGGCCCTTTCTTCCCCATCAGTCAGACTGGCAAAGGCCAGGTGAGCCAAGGGGTGACAGGAAACCTGTGCATTCTGGGGGCTCCTGGCTGGCTTGGTATCCCTGCTTACTTGTTCCCCATTCCCCAACCCCAGGCATGGATCCAGCAGGGGCTCCGTGTCAGCCAGGGCGGAGGAGGTGGCCGTGAGGGCAGTGCCCGGAGCTCGGTTGTCTCCCACAACCACCCCCTCCAAGCTGTCCCCCAGGCTCTGCAGGACGAATGTGTCCAGTGAAGTTCTGCCCTCTTACCTCCCTGGGCAACCAACACAGCATTCGTAAGAAGACAGGTCCACAGAAACCACAGTAATGAGAGACGCCGACATGCCTGTCATGCCTACTCGGTAACAGGTGCTGTTTGAGCTCCTTATGTGTATTAATTCATCTGATCGCATGACAGTCCTATGCAGCAGGTATTGTTGTTACCTCCTTCTCACAGATGGGGAAACGGAGGCCATTCATCAGGCGTGAGAGGAAGAGCTGGGATGTGCACGCCGGCCAGCTTGCCCCGAGACCTGGCTCTGGGCCGCTTCTCCACCCTGCCTGACGCAGGGCAGATGGCTGGCTGTGTCTTCAGGCAGGATGACCTTATGTTTGAGACCCTTCCCCCAAGGCTGGCGCCCCTCTGCGGGCGTGCTCCCTGGGTAATTCCCTCCAGGCATGTCCCCTGTCCAGGCTCCCACATTTCTCAAACATGTGATGATGTTCTTTCCACTTAGAGGAAGTTCCTAGAGTAGTCCAATCATAGAGACAGAAACCAGAATGGCGGGTGCTGGGGTGGGGTGGCAGGGAGAGGGAACAGGAGTTAGTGTTTAAAGGGTACAGAGTTTCAGTTTTATAAGATGAAGAGTTCTGTGGATGTATTCATGCCACTGAACTGTACACTTGCAAAAGGTTAAGCTGGTAACTTTCATGTATTTTATCATACACACACAACTCACATGTGCTGTTTTAACCTGAGATCAGTTGGAAGAGGGAAGTACTTACTCCTTAATGCCATTTCCACGTGGGGAGGGGACAAGGATAAAAGGGCCTGCCGGGACCTAAATCCTCAAGGTATAGAGGGACTGCTGGTCGCCTCATGGGTCAGGAGCACTGACCTTGGAGTCAAGCAAGTCAAGGTCAAGCCCAGCCCCCCTTTTATCAGCCTTCGCCCCTCCAGCAAGAGCCAAATCAGAAAACGTGTGAGTGATCAGCACACTGGCCACAGAGGAGCTTGTGCGTCTGACATCATGGTGCCATTCGCTGCCTGGGGAACGGCTACCAGAAGTCGAGGGCAGGGCCATTTGGGTTAATGTCCACTCAGCCCCCTCAAAGCTCTTCTTGTTCAGGCACTGCCACTGGGCTGCAGTCAGGGCTTTCCCATTGAGGGCAAGGTGTCTGGTGCTCCAGCCTGTTGCACTGCCCCTCGTCCCTCATGCACATTCTCAGGCAGTGGCCTGGCCAAGGCGACTGCAGCAGCCCGCAGCCTCTGCTGGCTCTGTGACCTTCAGAGGACATTGGCTATACAAGGGTGAGAAGCAGATGTCCGGGTGGTGGGGGCAGGCCCAGAAATCACACGGGAGTAGGAGGTTGCTGGTTCTTTGAGGCCCCCCACAGAAAGGCTCATGGGCCCCTGGTCACAGGGTCGTGAGCAGCCACACTGCGGTGCTTATGTGGGGGGACAGAAGGGACCAAGGATTGCTTCCCTTTCCTTTTCCTTGGAAGCATATCCTCTACCAAGGTTATTTTCCAGAAAGGAAACTCTTTCTTTTAAAATTCCAAACACCTACAAGTCACAGCCCACCCCTGAGTCTGTGTTCTGGGGACTCCAGAACACTCTGGACTCTGACTTTCTGGAGCTCTTGTCTCTGACTCATCATATATTCTTGTTGGTTCCCCTTGAAAATATACCCTAGACTCAACCTCTTCTCAGCACCTTCCCTCCCATCCCTCTGCTCTAAGCCGCTGCCATCTCTTGCCTGAGTCTTGGTTGTCTCCCGGCATCTGACTGTGCTGCTGTTCCCCCACGGCCAACACGCGGCCAGCGTGCTGTGCCCCTCCTCGCCCTCATCCATTGTCACCCGACGGCTTACTCACCCCACTCCAGTCATGGTCGTTCCTGCAGAGCCCAACACCTTCACCAGGGCCTTCTCTCTGGGGAGGTGACCTTTTTTTTTTTTAAAGGTTTATTTATTCTCATTCAAGGGGTGGGGGTTGGAGAGAGAGGGAGAAGGAAAAAGAGAAACATCAACATAAGAGAGAAACACCCCATCAGCTGCCTCCTGCATGTGTCCCAATGGCAGATCAAGCCCAAAACCTGGGCATGTGTCCTGACCTGGAATTGAACCGGCAACCTTAGGGTTACAGAACAACATTCCAACCCAGCACACTGGCCAGGGCTAGGCAGGTGACTTTCTTACTGCTTGTCCTTTGACCTCTCTAGTCCATCCACTTGCCCATCTCTTTCGGGCTCTGCCCCTCCCCTTCCCCCTCCCCTTGGACTTTGCACTATCTCTGTGTAGTCCTAGCCTAGTCTGTCTATTGCCTCCCACTGTTAAAACCCAACTTCCACAGAAAAGAAATCTGCTTTGTTCCTTGCTGTGTTCTCTGTGTCTGGGACAGTGCCTGGTACACAGCGGCTGCCCAGCAAACAAATGCTTTGTGGAATATGCAGGATCAAGGTTACCTGGATCCTGGGCTGGAGAAGACGACTAGAAAACCCCCAGGGCTCAGTTTAGGTCACAAGCCTTAGCGAGGTTTGACAACTACAGAGGTAAACTGATTTTTAAACATAAGCTCCTTTCATTTCCCCCTTCTAACCAGTAAAGCCAATGTCGATGTGGAGAATGGCGTGGAAGGGAGGAGGCCGGGCGGCGCGGCCTCTGGGGAAGACGGCCCGTCTGTGAGCGTCCATCTATGCTGGACTGGGACTACCTGGAGGCCCAGCAGATGAGAAAACCCAAACCCAATTTTTTTTCTTACTTAATAAATGCATTTATTCTTAACGATGAGACTCTATCATTATTGGAGTTAATAAATTCTGCAAAAAAAATGTCTCTACATGTGCCTAGCTCCTTTCCTCTTTTGGGACAACTGCCTGGGAACTGGACGCAACACAAGACCTGGGCTTTCTCTACATCTGTTAGGTGTCAGCCAATGTGGCCCTGCAGACAGGTGTGCGAGTGAGGGGCCGCAGGGGGTCGGGGGGGGTGCTGGAGGGCAGGGCGGCGCGGTCCTGGAGGCCCCAGTCGGCTCATGACCTGAAGCGGGACAGGCACCAGCTCCTAGGAACTGCATATGCTCAAGTCAGATCGCTTCCCGACAGGCAGAACTGTCGATAAAGTCCATCGTCACCTACATGCCTTCTTGCAACGTCCCCCAGGCTGTGGCACTGGGTGGGTGAGGGCATTCCCCACCTCTGCACTCCTGCTCTTCCCTCTCACACTTCGCTGCCCCTTTACCCTCACAGGGACCAAGGTCAGTCCAAGTTCAGCCAGGAAAAGCGTTCCATCCACGTGGGGGCCGGAAATGGTGCTCATTGGTGGCCACCAGCACTGCCCCACCCCCAAAGGGAGAAGCTGGGAGGCGTCTCTCTTGTGAGGTGCTTGTTATAACCATTCCTGAGTTACTCTGCTTGTTTCCCGTAGTACGAGTTGGCGTCCGTCACTGGTATCCCAGCACAGCCGGTCTCTCGGGGCTAGTGTGTGGGGTGGGGGGGAGCAGCAGGGTCCCTCCACAGAGGAAACCTTCAGGACCACAAAGCACTGCAACTCTTCTTTTGCTGAGACCTGGCACTCGGAACCCTAGCACGGTCCACACAGTTAAGCTTCACCTACGGTTAGCTTCTCCTGAGCCCAGCGCCCTCCAGAGTTGCTCTTTGAGAACCACTGCCGCTTGGCTTAGAATATTCAGGAATCTGCTCATTCGCTGCTTTAACGACAGACCTTCCGCAAATGTGCATTTGGATCTGCTCAGCCCCCAGCCAGGGGCAACGCTATTCCTTGTAACTGGCAAAAGAAGGAAAAGGCAAAGTGCACGTCTCAGAGGTTGTGGCCCAGAAGGCAGAATTCCTGGCTGCAGCTGTTGCTAACCCACTTGGGCCCACCCTGCGCTCACTCTTCCCGATCCTCCGCTCTCACCCTACGTGGCCCCACGACTGTGGCAGAGCTTGGGGGGCCACCAGGTGACAGAGCATTCATGGGACCACGGATGCCCGTGCTGACGGGAAGCAGTACAAACTGACAGGATCACAGCAAACCACAGGACAACTGTGTGACAAGCAATCTGCCGTTTTAAAAATATAACATTTATTGCTTAGATGGTTTGATACAGAACAGTTTTTCTTCTCATTTTGAATTTGAAAGTACTATACAACTGAATACAAAGAGGAACAAAAGTACCAAAACTAAACTTGTGATTCTGTTCATGTGGCATAAACCAGTTTTGTACATAACATGTAGCAGCAGTTTTTAAGTTCCCTTTAGAAAAATATGAATTCTACATATTTATTATTGTTTCCTGTTTAATGCATGGGCTGAAATCACTAGGATCAACTTCCTTCTTGAAGAAAAGAGAGGAGAGGAAAAGACGAACAGAGGGCCGAGGGCACGATGACTCTTTCTGAAACTGGCACCCGACTGTCACACGGCTTCCCCAGGGCTGCCTGCGCACACAGCCCTTTGGGTTTTTTGTTTTGTTTTCACAGCCAGGAGTTTCGTGTAGTGATTGAATCTCAGCATTGTGTCCACAAATCAAAGAGAAAAACAAAGAGAGAAACTTGCACCTCAAAAAACTTTTCAGAAGATCCATATATATATATTTTTTGTAAAAGCCCTGAGAGGAGAAAGAGAATCAAACAAAATGTAGAGAAACAAATTAGCTGGACATGCAACTAAGCTATGATTCACCCAGAGTTTAAACAAATCACAAATTTCACAGTTTAATATAGGGGAAGGGGCAGAACAACAAACAATACATTTCTCAACCTCACTAATAAAATGTGGCAAGACCTTATTGACTAAGAGGGTACAGATGAAGGCTAAATAAAGCTTTAAATCAATAGTGATTATTGCGAGCGGCAGCCCCGGCTGCGCTGCGGGGGCGATTCCTGCTACATCTCACTGCAGCGTAGAGTTAAGTCACGGCTTCTCTCCACAATGTTGCAAGTTTTAGTGTGGAGAGTTGCAAAGAAAAAACAAAACAAAACTAGAAACCCCAAATAATAACAACAAAAATAACAACAATCGTCATAAAAAATTAAGGGGTGCATGAACTGGTTTTAACTAAGCAGACCAGCTTAGTAATGAAGTGATACGGTGATCATTGGTTCTGATGTGTAGTCACCTACAGTAAATAAAAACCTTGTTCTGAAACTGGTTCATACATCCCTAATACAGTTAAAAGTTATATATACCTCAACTTCTTTCCTTTCACATGCAAAGATATCACTTTTTATTATTTCAAGACTATGTATCTTCCTTTGAAGTCTGGGCGGTTGGATTTTGGCCACCAGCAACTGGTGAGGAAGTGCGCGAAAAGGGCCCGTGGGCCCCTGCGGCTCTTGCACTGAGTGCGAAGGAGGTGCACTCAGCGCCAGAGGGACGAGGGCCCTGGGAAGGGAGGGAGGGGTACAGGGGCTTCCCCAGAGCTAGGCAAGAGGGTCTGAGGGGTGGAGCAGCACAGGAGGCCCGGGCAGCACTGAGCCTCGGGCGTCCTGGAGGTCCCAGCTGAAGGACAGGATGCTGAACAAGCTCAGCTACAGTAGGATATATTTCTTTTCACTGCTGGCACCTACAGCGAGGAAGTCTATTGCTTGCATAGGATGCTTGGAGGGGGGGGCGGGGGGGGGGATCCTGCCTTTTTGCACCCAGGGGTTCGTTATTTTAGAAACTACAAACAACACATTTATCTTCAAGCACCAATCCCAAATCGCAGGAAGGTAAATATAAATCTATTTCTCATCTTCAATCTTGCATGTGCAGTTTTATTACCAGTAGTAGTATTTTCTCGCTTTGCAAATGACAGTAGCACACGCGGGTAAGGCTTGGGCTGGGTTTGGCAGAAGACCCGTGAGCGGCAGGTCTCCTCACTGCCTGGCTTCCTCAGAAGCCCCGGGCGCACACACCCTCTCTCTCCCCTCTGAGCTGCTCCTCAGCCACATGTGGAGAACCCTGCTGGAGTCTGCAGTCACGGAAGAAAGGTTTGTCTAAGTACAGTAGAAGAGCTCCCACCCAAGAGGGGCACGGAAAGCTTCGGGCAGATGCTCACGTGGGACCCGGGCACCCACGTCTCCAGGACAAATATTGCCCATTTGTTTCTGCTGACTGCAGAGACCAGCAAACTGATGAACTAAAAATAATAATAATAATAATATTAATAATATATATACCGAAAGGGGGAAATCAGATACATGACATCTGTGTATGTTCTCCATACATCAAGTTGCCTGGGTAACTCTTCTCTGTAAGAACAAATATCTTGAGTGTCTTGAACAGGAAACAGCATGTCTAATGCTGAAAGAATGGAAACAGGTATGAGGTCAAAGCTAGAATCTGTCCTGGTTTTGGCTTGAACCAAATTGGAAACCTCTTATTAACCACATCTTGCAATACCAAGGACCAAGTTACAGCTCCACCACCATATAGCAGACAAAAAAAAAAAGAAAAAAAAAAAAAGAAAAAAAAAGTCTATCTGAGAAATGAGCATTTCATCCATATTTCCTCTGGTAATTTACATGAAATTCACATCATTTTCTTCCAGTTATTGGCTATGGGTGTCCAAGGGTATGTTTTTTTCTTCTGTTTCCAGCTCACAGAACAAACGTTACTATCACAGACTCGCTAAAGCAAGCTCTCACACAGCAACACAGAAGATCATGTTAATGCTTAAATGAAAGGTCCTCTCCAAATAATTCATCACAATATTTGCTTTGTTTTTTAAAGTCATTTTGGGACAACACAACACCCAGGACGACACTGAAGGACCGGTAAGTAGTTAAGGCACTCGAATTGTCCGCGCTGGCCTCCTGCACGGGCACGTGGTGCGGCTACAGCACCAAGCGAGCTGGCCCTCTCCTGCGCGTCTCTCTCCAACAGCTGAAGGGCACTGGGAAACCTCACGAAACGTAGATTCAGGACACGGCTCTGCTGGCCTGTCTGTGCGCTGCGGGACAACGGGAGCCGTCACTCCATTCCCAGCAGTGGCGAGGCGCCGTCGGGGGCCAGGAGAGGGTGGGCAGGCCTCTTGCCGTTCAGCTCCAGCAGGTCTTGCACGAGGGCCACTGGGCTCTCTGGGTCAGGGTCACCCCGAGGTGCCTGCTCCTTGGGGCTGCCCGTGGGAGCGGTCTTGGGAGCACCCCTGCCGGCTTCAGCCTGCCCAGCACCAGCCGTCCGCCCCACAGCCCGGTCCTCCCTGCGGCTGGCATCCTTGGCCAGGCTGTCCTTCCGGCTCCGGGTCACAGCCACGTGGTTGCTGGCCAGTAGAGCTGAGTCGGCCTCGTTCTCTGAGACGGGGTTGTTGCCACTGTGGGTGGACTCGCTCTCACTGTCCTCCTCACCCCGCTCATCCTTGTCACTGTCCTTCCCATGATGTTTGGCATGCCTGGCTTTCTGGTGGACCCGCTGGTGGCGAACCAGGCTGTGCTTCAAGGTGAAGGTTCGCTCGCAGGTCTGACACTTGTATGGCCTTTCTCCTGAAATAATGAGGCAAAGACATTAGGTCTGTTAATGGTAAGGACACCAGTAATACCTCTCAGCTCTGCACAAAAGTAGCCATGAGACAAAGGTGAGGGGCAGCGGGTGGCAGGGACCGGGACTCCATCCTATGCAGGAAACCCTTATTTGTCTGAACTGGCAAGATGGAGAAGGAGACATGCCAGGCGCCAGACACGATTTTCTTCCTTCCGTCTCTCAACCCAGGTTTTTCACACCCTGATCCAGGAACCAGGATCTCATGGAAGGACGGCAGCAGTTCCCTTCTGCAGGGGCAGGCACCAACTCTGAGGGCTCTACCAACAGTGGCACCTCCTTAGTCAAAGGCACAAGACACTGTGTGTTCTGATAGGAAGCAGCTGGGGCTTCCCTCTGGCTCACAAACGCCAGGCTGTGAGCAGCTGAGACCACCACCTGCCGGGAGACCAAGAATACCTCTCTGTGGGGAGGGCTAGCCCCGGGGGCCCTCCAGATCCCTCAGCCCAGGGCAGAACTGACCACAGGAGGCGGGGCAGTGTGTGGAGAGCACATGTGCGCACCCTGCTGGCCACAAGGTAGGAGGAAAGCAGATCTAAGACCAGGGTCTGTACCCTGACCCCCTCTCCGGAAACGGGGGGGCAATATGCTTGCATCTTTTTGCTCCATGAATGTATCCGGGTCTCCTTCTTTCTATCGAAACTACATCCCCTGCTGTGGGGTTTGTAGCCTCAATCCCACATCTGGTGAGACCCAGGAAGAGAAAGAGTGTGTCGAGAAAACAGAACCCCCCCACCCTCCCCACCATGGGCCTATAGCCAAGACAGGAAAAGCCCCTCGTGGGCAACCTTCTCACCTGAAGGCTAATTGTAAGATGAACGCAGGTGCCTCCCAACAGAGCCCCACAGAACACTGTCCCTACTGCCTGTTCCCCAGACCACACCACGCAGTCCTTCCAGGCTCAGGACTTAATACCATTTCAGGCCCAATGCTTATGTGAGAGAAGGCAGCCATCACCCCCATTCTAGACACGGGAAGACTGAGGCTCAGAGGGACTGATCAAGGCATTCTCAAGAACAGCACTGCTGAGGGACCACCCCACTGCCTCCCTGCAAGGAGCCTGCTCATTTCAGGTGCTCAGAGAACAGCTTGTTAGATTCCCTCTGTACAGGGCTCAATGGGCACATGTGCCGGCTTGGTCAGTTCTCTCTGCCTCCGCTTCGAAGCTTTTGTCACAGCTTCAGGGGAGGTGCATCCTCCAGACAAATGGGCCAGAGGGAAGAGACAGAACCAGACTCGCCCCCCACTTGGCAGTCTGGGGAACGGCCCCTCCCTGAAAGAACCCCAGGCCCCGCAGAGGCCAGGCTGGCCCTTACCCGTGTGGGACCGCATGTGCCGGGTCAGGTCCTGCAGAGACCAGAACCTCTTGTTGCACACAGTGCAGACCTTCTTCCTCTTGTCTGCCTTGCTGGACACACTCCTGGAGGTGTCTGTCTTTGGCTTCTTGTCATCGTCACTCCTCTCTGAGGACTTCTTCTCAGCTGTGCCCTCCCCGTCAGAGGTGCCCTCAGCCTCCTCGCTCCGCTTCTCTGACAAGCCTTCTGATGTGGCCTCCCCCTCAGCCGGGGGCTCGGGCTTCTCCTCTGGCTCTAGGGCAGGGGCAACGGCAGTGGGGACAGGCGTCGACCCGTCGGCCACCCCACTCTCGCCCTGACTGTCCCGAGGGAGTGCACTCTCCTCCTTGGGCACCTCACGGCCATGGGCCTTCCTGTGGCGGCTCAGGGTCCCAAGGAACTTGAAGCTCTTGCCACAGGTGTCGCAGGTGTGCTTCTGGTCCTGCTGGGCCGAGCCTCCGCTGCCTACAGCACCAGAGCCACCCTCAGCTAGCTTGAAGCCCATCAGTTTGCTGGCAAGATTGAGGTCCAGGCTCTTGTTGCTGACCGTGTCTTCCTCAGGGCCATCTGCGTCCTCATCCTTGTCCTCTATGCTGTGTTTTCCTTCGGGCTCTGGGCTCTCCTCGGCTCCCTGCTCCTCCCCATCCAGAGGCTCAGCTGCTCCCTGAGTCAGCTCCTCTACAGGGAGCTCTTCTTTGACCTGGCTGGGCTCAGGGGCCCCCTCTGACCATGGCTGCTCCTTCTCCCGAGAGGTGAGGTCTAGCACTTCGCCTCCTGCAGCCGGTGTCTCCACGTCGGACTGGCTGTCTGTGGGAGCAAGCACAGGGGCAAGGCTTGAGAACAAACGCCATCACACGTGCCCCTTCCAAGGGCTCCATTGGGACTCTTGGCTGGACCCACCCCGAATCATCACCCCTCTAATCATCCTCGAGGGCCCAAATGAATCTGGGGTTAATTTATAAAAGGCAGAAAGACTTTCCACATACACACAGGCTGGGGTCACAGGCCTGGCTGTGCCTCAGAACCCCTGCACTCCCCATTTCTGCCCATTGGCAGTGCCCGGTGCCCCCCCTGCCACATACAGGGATGCTCAGGCCCCAGGGAGGTGTGAGCGGCTGAGGGCAGCACAGACAGAAGGAATGGCGAGAGGAGAGTTGGTGCATTCCAGAGATTCGCAGTGCTAGGGAGGTTGAGGAAGCTGAGCTGTTAAGTTATTTTTGAATGCAGAGATTATAAACATGCAACATACATGGGACCACCCCCAAACATGGTATCTGAGGACAAAATGGCCCAAAGTACTATATACGCACACGCTCTCGCCTGACGCCTAATTTCCAGGTGGCGTTCCAAGACAAACGGAGACACATGCACACCAGCTGGCCTCCCTGACTCCTGTCAGGACCCCATGTAGGGAGTGGAAGCACTTCCTGTCTCACGATTTGTCCCTACCTGTTCGCTCTCTACAGCAAAACCAGATGTAGGCAGTCCATCAGTTTTTTAAGACCTTCTTAAGGGATGGTACTGAGGCAAAACTAATGACACCAAACTGATGGCAGTCTTTTATCATCTTCCTTCAGGTTGAACAGGGCTTAATGAGCTTTTAATTATGCGCTATGACAGTGAAGCTGTCTGCTGAGACCTACTATGTAACTAGGGATCCCATGGCCAATTAATTAGGCTGGTGAAAGTCACTGCTTCACAGCACATGCATGAGATGTACCGCCGTCATGGGAGAGCCCTGATTACGCCGTCATGTGTGTGAGCCAGCTGACTCACATTTCACCCGGACTCTCAGTTGGTGTAGCCACACGTACAGCAACGTCCACCCACATCCATCACTCGGACTCACGTGCTGGATCATCTGCCAGCACAGTGGTCCTGGGCTGGGGCAAAGGACCGCGGACCGCGCACCGTGTCCCCTGGGTCACACCTGCCTCGGTCTTTTGGTGTACCTACCACCGGCTGCTCGGCACCTCCACTGACATCATTTCACTGGTTTATTCTGCCTCTACCACTTGGCAGCCACTGTCTGAGTACCTCCAAAGGTTTCAGAAGGAAACAAAAATTATGGCGTGACTATAAAATTTCTGACAATGATTTTGAAAAATTATCCACAAGTTTAAAGATAATGAATCCTGAGCTATACACACCAATATCTAGGCCATAATCTAAGGATAAACCAGGTGCTCATTTTCTTGAATCATTCCAATAGGGAGCATTTAGTAAATGGATTTTGGTATAAACTCTGCAATAAGAAAATATAAAACACTGAGGTTTCTTATTTGTTGGCTCTGTAGTTACTAAAGGAGAGGCTTAATCTCTGGTTACTTCCTATTTGCTGCAGTACATTCTAGGTTGTTTGTCCTAATTGTTAAATTTTTTTTTTCACCAAAGAACATGGATTATTTTAAATTTCAACTGTAGAACATATTAAGATGACTGTGTGTGGGGGGGAATCATAATGAATTCTGAAAGTAAACCCAAGTAAATATACTAAGATCAGATCATTCTAACTCCTGGGCCTCTCCTTAGTGTGGGTAATGGAGCGTTCACTCTAAATTCAATGAAAGACCAACTAACTTCCTCTGTCGAATAAAGATGTCTTGGCTGTGCTCTACCAAACTTCCACTAGGGGGAGTGTTTTAGCAGGGCAGTCCAGGCCCTTCAAGGACCAAGCAACCCTTGATTTTTATTAGTGATTTTTGGGAACAATAGGCTTAACCTCTTCTCATCATCTCATGAACAGCCAGTTTATAATACCAGATCCTGTTTTGATCCCTTCCCTTCTCTCAACCACCCACACTTCCAAATACAGGTAGCCAATGACTTTTTATAGGCAATACTACCTGCCATAACGCCTTAATTCTCTGCCCTTATCTGTCCCTCATTTGTGGTGCTAAATCTAAGAAAATTGCTAGAGGAAGCAGACAGAATCCAGATGGTACCACGTTCTACGGGAAAGTGGAGATTTTCATATCAGCTCAACCATAAAATATCTGCTGTCTTCTAGAAGTTCCAAGTTACTCAGCTGATGTGAAAAATGACCAACCTAAATACCTAATCTGATTGGGCAGGGGCAAGGCTGTTCAGGTTGCTCTGCCTGTACTTAACTTCACCTACCAAGAAGCACCTGGGGCTTCTGGGCTGGTAAGGGCGGGGGGGCATCATTAAGGGACAGTTTAAAAACTTTCACATTTATGCTGATTTAAAAAGTCACATGTAGGTGCCCACAAATACAAAGGCTCCTACAGGCATCATCTGAGGAAAAAAACCACACAATTCCCCGGGGCAAAGTGAGCCTGGGCACCTCTGCCCATAAGAAATGAATGAAAAGTTTCAGTTTAACTCTGAATGAGCAATGTGCCCCTTTAAGCAGAACTGCTCCCATCACAGCATTTTCAACATTCCTTTCGGGAAAATCTAGGGTATATTTTCATGAAAGACCTTATGTGATGGAAAAAGTCAGACCTATGTTATAAAACACGTTTAGGGATTTTAAGAAAATGCAACCCAGGCATATAAACCTAGAAACCCCTCCAGAACTTCCTTGGTCATTTCCTGCCTTTGTTTTTTTATGGTCTTCCTCTAGGCCCCACTTTTAACTTCATGGGAGGGAGTGCCCGAAGGAAACCATCACCCCTCCATCACGCTCACCTGGTTTTAAAAATGCTCCTTGAAATCACTGAACCCCAGCTCCCTACCCTCTTTTCTCCCCTTCTTAAATCTCAGTCTTCTTTCCTAGCATGGATTGTGACCACAATTAAACCAAACGTGTATTTTCTCGTTGCTGGTCTCACATTTCAACTTCCAGTGAATTCTCTTTTTCCAGAGGCTTTTTCCTTTAAAGAAAACCTACAGAACGGAGGTGAGGAAGGACTCTGACAGGACTTGGAAAAACACAATTCTTAACTGCAAATTTAAAAACTAAACACACCCACAATGTAAAGCTTGGTGCTGAACCACAGCTAAGACACAAATTCCGATCAGCTTGATGTCTGCAGGTTTCTACTGCAGCCTCCCCCTCAGACGTCAGCGGGAGCCCCAGGCTTGGTGTCGCTCAGTGTGATCAAGAAGGTGAATTCCAAGTGTGCACCCAGCACTCGCTTATTACACTTCAAGACCTGTCTGTGAGCCCTGGAGACCAAGGACACCCCTTGGACACCTATACTGCCCGCCGCCCACCCCGCCTTGGGACCGCTCTCTAGGCCAGGCTGCCACCAGCTCATGCAGCGCCCACTGTTAAACATTAAGAGCGGTGGCTCTGCCAGCATCACTCTGGGTTTCCTGGGGCTGAAGAGCAGATCATCCACCATCTCTGGCTCCAGGGAACCCAAGCCACAGCAAGACTCTGTGGGCATCCATATCTTTCTTTCCTCAAAGATTCTGGTAAGTCATGTGGGAATGCAAGCTAGGGGTGGAGTCCGCAAACTGGCCTACATTCTTATACCCTCAGAGGGTTTGATATTAACTAAAGAGCCTGGCAGTTCAAGCGCTTGTTCCACTAGGGCTCAGTGGGAGGTACAGTTTAAAAAGCAGAGGGCTCCGGATCACATCCTCTTCCCGGGCTTGCCACCCATCCAGAAGTGCTCCCCTCCCTGGTAGCTGGGACAGGGGTGAGGGGCCTGGGGCCAAAGTCCACACTGACTTGGGGGGAGGACTCCCAGACAACACAGCAGCCCATCTCCACCCAATTCTAAGGGAGAAAAGCACAGTACAGAATTGCAACCCTAGAAAACTACATTTGGGGGGAATCTCATCTGCTTCAAGCAATGGGGGAACGTTAAGCTTTCAGGATCTGCAGAACTGAATCCATACCAGTAAGCTGTTATTAAACCTGTGCCAGGAACCTGTGTGCCCAAGTGACCTGCAGCAGCCCCTCTGTGTATTGTTTTAGGGGGCGAGAGTGCTGGACCCCAGCAGCTGGAGATAACCAATGTACGGGATAGAGCACATGAGTAAATACAGAAGCTGTACGGGGAGAAAGGTGGCAGGAGGCGCACTGGGCGGCGTTAATTGCTCTGTAGGGGGCTGGAGGAAGGAAGCGCATATCAGCACAGGAGAATAATACCCGGATTCAGGTCAAGCAGAGATGTGATTAAGGAAAGGACATGCAGAGTGCTTTTTCAAACAAGACAAAGTTTTGTTTTACTGGGAAGAGAGTTATTGAAAAGGAAAGCGCCCCACCCCACCCTCCCTGACGAGGGCCGGGCATCCCTAGTTCCTGCAATACCCTGACATCTGCGAGCCCAACCAACCCTGCGCGGTAGGAAGCGGTAGGATTCGGCAGAGGCTGGGCCTGAAGGAAACACCCCAGGCCTGGGAGGTGGTTGTTGTGTTGCTACCAGGAGCTAAAACTGTACGCCCTCCCTCATGTCCCGCCTCCAGCAGGACCCACAGCCAGAACAAAGAGGTCTGCTGGGAGGGCGACAGATCTTCCCTAGTAGTCAGAAAAGCAGGGGCGCTGCCATTGTCTCCCACAGCCCACCCGGCTGCATGCGCCCAGCCCTCTCCAGGGCCCCCCTTTCTAGACTGTGGAGTCCTACAGGGAAGTGGGAAAGGCAGCCCGCCGTGCACTGTGCTTTGGAGGCCTGGAGTTTGCTAGGAAGCTAAGCAAAGTTAGCCTGGCTAAGCAATCGGTTCTCCTCTGTCCCTCTCCTCCTCTCCATCACCTGGAAGCACTACCTGTGCTATCATGGGGTCCAACATCACTCTCTTTTGACTGGGGAATAAGCCCGTTTCTTCTCAGGGAACAGTTGGTAACTCCATGTTTGCGCAACTGGTGGCGTTCACAGTTAGATTTGGTAGAAAAGAAGGCATCGCATTTTTGACAAGGGAAGGGTTTCTGACCTGAAGCAGGAAAAAAAATAGATATTTATCTGGCTTTCTACTGCAAAAAAAAAAAAAAAAAAAAAAAAAAAAAAGTTGCTTTCGTTTCATTTTCCTGGGATTATTGGCATTTGCTTCTCCCTCCTCCACCCCATTCTTTTATGAAAATAAACAAAATACATGAAAAAAAAAGAACTGAACACCAACAAGTCAAATGATCATCTTCCCTTAGCCTGAGTGGGATGGAATGAATGTTTTGACTTCAGAATACTAAAAATGAACAATGAAACCAAGATGCAAACATTTAAAAGTAAAACAACAGCATTACAATTACAAATATTACATAATTACAACAACAAAAAGTGAGTGAAGGGATTTTAGAGCACAGCAAGAAAACATCTATAGTTTGTTCCGAGGAGAAGACAGCTTTTAATCCTTTCTAGTATTCCAAGTACTACTACGCAGGCTGGGAAATCAAAGGGGACACCTAGGCTCTCCTGCGGAATCTGGAACCCCTGGACACCTTTGGAGGCGAGTCTCCCTTCCTGGCCTGGGTGGGCCTGGCCTCCCACAGAGGGGGGCGGTGGCGAGCTCTGCCTCCCAGGACTCCTCCTGTCTGACCTGATGAGCGGTCCTGCAGTGACCTCTGCCCAAGGTCACTGTGTCCCTTAGCAAGTCAGAAGAGGTCTGCTCACCGCACGCAAGGTTCTTTGTTCCGCTGCTTTAGGCTCTTGCTAGTAGTAAATAAGTGAACAAAAAATCCTGAGTCTGCAGTAGGATATCATATGCTCTACTCAACAGACCTGCCTTTGAAGAGAAGTCACTGAACAGCCCCCCTGTCCCACCCAACTCCACCAATGGGGTCACCTGTTGACAGAGGAGCATGACCTTCCTTCTCCCCAGGAATGATCTACTTTGGTTTGCCCATCCTTTCCTTTTATCTGGATTCCTCCTGTGCTGTAAACATGATGTTTCAAAATGCAAGCCAGGCCTCTGCATCTTGTCCCTTGTTTGGGGTGTGAGGGGAAAAGCAAGACCCAGAGCAGAAAGTGTGGACTGAGAAGGAAGGTGGTAGGTGGGTGGAGAAGGGAAGTGACTAGGTGGGCCTGAAGAGAGAGAAGGGAGGGGGGCAAATTATTTACTGTATCACTGGATTCTTCTTTTCCCCCCCAATCTCCAGATTATAAGGTCCCAGTTTTTGATTTTACAAGGTAAAAGGTTTGTGTAGTAACAAACATGAGCTCAGAGCTGCAGCCCAGTATGTCTGTCTTGTAACCTTGGGAATGCCACAATCAGACACACGTTAAGGGAATGACAGAAAAAAATAAAAAATAGAGCTGCCATATGATCCAGCAGTTCCACTTCTGGATATTTATCTACAGAAAAAAACAGTAGTTGGAAAAGATATATGCACCCTTATGTTCACTGAAACATGAAAAACAGCCAAGGTATGGAAGTAACCTAGATGTCTACCAAGAGATATATACAGAACACATGAGTAAACACAGAAGCTGGACAGGGTAGAAAGGTGGCAGGAGATGCACTGGGCGGCCGTTACGGGGCTGGAGGAAGGAAGCGCTTATCAGCACAGGAGAATATATATGGATACACACAACACAGAATACTCTCCAGCAATAAAAAAGAATGAAATCTTGCTATTTGTGACAACACAGATGGACCCAGAGGGTATTATGCTAAGTGAAATCAGTCAGACAGAGAAAGACAAATACTGTATGATTTCACTTATATGTAGAAGCTAAACAAGACAAATGAATAAACAAGACAGAAACAGACCCACAGATACAGAGAAAAAGCTGATGGTTGCCAAAGGGGAGGAGAATTGGGGAAAAAAAAATCATAAAATAAAATAATAATAAAAAAACCCCCCATGATATGAAACGCAATGCATGAATCCAAACTGGATTATAGACTGGAAAAAAGTAGCTCGAAAGGACATTTTTGGGTTAGCTGATGGAAGTTGATTACGATTGTGGATTGGGGGCGGGGGGGGGTGCAGGGGAAGAAATGGCAGGAAAATCAACTTGCACTGTTCATTTATTTATTTTTTAAGGTTTTATTTATTTATTTTTAGAGAGAGGGGAAGGGAGGGAGAGAGAGAGAGAGAGGAAGAGAAACATCAAGCGGTTGCCTCTTGTGTGCCCCCAACGGGAACCTGGCCGGCAACCCAGGCACATGCCCTGACAGAGAATCGAACTGGCGACCTTTCTGTTTGCAGGCCGGAACACAATCAATCCCCTGAGCCACACCAGCCAGGGCAACCTGCGCCATTTAGATACCATGAACGAGGCCTGACCTAGCGTAGGTGCACAGGCCCAGGCACTCACTGCAATGCATACAGCACGGGCCTGGCTCCTGGGCTTCGCAGAGCGGGAGGAGGGAATAGTATCATCATCTCCCTGTTGCGTAACTCGCGTAACTCCCCGGGGTGCCAGTCATGCAGAGCGAGCTGGTGTGTGACCCAGCACCACAGGAATCCCTGCCCCGCCAAGGTCAAGCATCAGTGCTAATCAAAGAAAGGGGACGTTCATTCCCTCCTGAGCTGAAAGGCCCTTTCAGGCAATGGTTCCAAAACACCTGTGGGGCTTTTCAAAAATAAAGATGCCTGTACAGATGATCTATTATGGAATTATACCCCTGAAACCTATATAATTTTATTAACCAATGTCATCCCAATAAATTCAATAAAAAAGTAAACAAATAAATAAGGGGGAAAAAAGAATACAGATGCCCGGAACAATACAAAACCAGCGAATGAGAAACCTGGTGGCGCGGCCCAGGGGCGGAGTCAGTTTACCTTTGCAGAGCTCAGGAGGTGGTTTCTGCTAATATTTTAAAATTAACATTAAAAAAAAAATCATCCTTTTGCATAAAGACTAGTTTTAAAAGCATTTAAAAATGGAAAATATTTAATTATTTGGAATCTGTTTTAAGTAAGAAAAAATACTTTTCCTTAATATGTTATTGTCAAAAGGCAACACCATGGCTTCTCTGAGTGCGGCCGGAGGAGAGGGACAGAATGAGGCTGAGAGGAGAGCAAGTCAAAGCTGTGACTGAACATGATACGATTCTTGATTTCAAATAAAACAATTGGTTTCTTGCTTCTACCTATTACACAATTTACTCTGTAATTTTTAAGTTGGTAAATATTTCACTTTTATAACTGGTCTGGACAGCCAGCCTGATATCCTATGATGAAGATTCATATTAGTGCTAAATTCAGAAAAGAATTCAATGATGCCAAAATACTGTATCAAATTATGAAGATCCTCAAAGGAACAGTAACAGGAGTCTTTTAAAATTCATATTTTGCTCCATAAATCTTACATTTTAAGTAACAGTGTGCCTTCCGATTGCATGAACAGAGGAAAACACGAGCCCTTTCAGTATTTTATAATTGCACAGGTTTCAAACTTGTTGACTGGTAATCTATATGGGAAGTATTAAATGATTTTAATTGCTTGGCAACTGCCACAAATCAATGCTTTAGCAGGGGTGTTTTAAAATGTTCCTGTAACCATAAGGAGTTACTTTTGTGCCAAGGACCTTAGAGAGCCCTCCACCCCATATTGGTAAAAGCCACTGCCAGCCAGTTTTCACTCTCACAGAACAGCCAAAAAAAGGGAGAGAAATTTTATACTAAACGATACTATCTGGCAGGCTCTTGGGCAAGAGAGAGCAGAAGAATGAATACTGAGAATAAGGTTCATGACGTGGCTTCACACCTCACACTTCTCTCCCTCACCCCTCCGCCCCTGCAGGGAAGGGTTCTTTCTTTCTGTATTTGGCAGAGGTGCACGCAGGGCTGGCTTGGTTAAATGGCCGAAGTGTCACTTAGGAAAGTTACAAGCAGCCAAATACACCTGGTGTCAGGAGCAACTTACACACTGAGGTTTGTACATCTTATTAATTTTAACTGTGATGTCTGTGGCCCATGAGCAGCAGGTAGGAGAGGTAAGTGGGGACGGCCTCAGGCTGGTAAAGAAAAGGGGTTAAAACCAACCATGAGAAAGTGAGTGAGCCAGGGATTCCAGAATGTGGGAGCTGGTGGGCCCTTCAGACATCATGGGGTCCTGGCCCCTTCGTGCTGGGAGGAGGAGAGGCAGTAAAAGAGAAAGAAAGTAAGGACAGGGTGGAAATGGACTGGCTGTGCTTCTGGCACACACTCTTCCACCTGTGGCCTAAAAACACACAAAACAGTCTCAAGGGAGAAAAGGAAGGAACAGTGAATTACCCTCACTCAACACTGGTCAGGCAGAGAAAGGTAAGGAACCAGGAAATGTCCCTGAGCAACAGGACACTGTGGGCCAGGAGAGGAGTGGAGGGTGGAAATTCAGTTCTGAGTGGAGAACACGCCAGTGGATGTGAAATCTGACAGCCGACACCAGCTTCCTCATGACACAATTCCTAGAATCTGAGCCACGCAGAGCGGGCTGAAACCAGGTGCCCCCTGCCCACAGCAACATTAAACCTCTAGCTGGACACTTAACACCTGGTTTACTCAATGTTGCCCATCTAGGGGGTGGGGTGGACTGGAAACATATCTATGAGACAACATACAGACATGATGGTAATTCCATGCATTTGCCAAGTGGCCAGGAAAAAGCTGACTCACAAGATACAGACACAGCTTACCTAGGTGCCATCTAAAACTGGACACTGCCCCACGCCCCTGGCTACAATGCAGCTAGATTTTAATGCTACAATTAAACCAAACCAAACCAAACCAAAACAAAACTCTTCCCTGTGTAATACTTGTTCATGGGATCATTTCAGAGTCCATGTTTAATTTCTCTTTTGTGTGAGCCTTAGTCTTATTTCATAGTTTACGGAGGGAGCAGGGGGGCCAGGAGACAGGCAGCTCAGAGACTCTCCAAGAGCACAGTTGCCTACCAGAAAGAGAGTGCTCCCTGGAGGAGGGGGTAGATCAGGTGATTTCCCGGGCTCTGTCCAGCCTCCAGCATTTGATGAACGGGCAATGTTCTAATACAGCACCAGGTACAGCCAGGTGCTCTATAAAATAATGTAACAGAGGGAATGCGGAGATCGTTGCTGAGAGCTGGAGCAGTGAAACAGCAAAGGAAGTCAATAGCCCAGTGGGTGCTGAGCTTTGCGTGTGTCTGTGTGTCGTTAACACCCTTCTGTGGTCATTAGTCTCTGATAACAGTATTCTGGTCCACATCTGTCTTCTAACCTTTTTTCAAACCTCTTCTCAGAGTTCTGCACCAGGACATGTGAGGACAATGGAAGGGCAGAGGCATGACCTATACCTGTTCAGATAGAGGACCAGTAGCCACACCACCCTGACTGTGGGGCACGTGTAGGGATCTTGACCCTGGCTTTGAATCCAGCTCTCCTGCTCACTGTTCGTTACTCATGACCATAAGCAAGTTAGCCTTTCTAAACCTCCACTTCCTCATGAGAAAATGTGGACAACATCACTCTCATGGGACAGTGAGGAAGACTGGCTCTGAAAATCTTCTCTACCAACCCTGAATGGTCCTCTCGTGAGTCAAGGCCTGCAGCCCCACTGCAAGAACACAGTGTCATAGGATGTCAGGGACGGGGCTGAGACAGACACAGCCACTAAGTGTATAGGAACTGCGAAGGGAGAAGTGGCAGAATGTGTTTGTATTTACAGTCACCCTCCCTGCCCTGTCTCCAACAAACCTTTCACCTTCTTTGCTTGGTTTCAGATGCTGCCAAATTTTAAACCAACTAGAAAATTTTGGCATTCAAAAGCCAGGTAATCAAAATGACTGGATTCACAAATGGGAATTTATATCAGACATCTTCAAAGACACAGGCACGACTCTTGAAAGGAGCTCCCGGCCACGGCGGTCCTCCCAGGGAGACTGATGGTTCGCTAGGAAGAGAACGTCTGGGAATAAAGGGGATCATCTGGGGACAATGGGCATGGGGTCCACCTACGAAGCGCAGGACCCCCAGCTGGAGGCGGCGGTGGGCAGGCTGACAGTGAGGGGAAGAGAGAGGCAGAGCAAGAGCCACGCTTATTGTCAGGTCTACGCTACCTGCCTTCTAAAACGTGGGAACAGAAATACTCCTTTCTCCAGACTCTGCAGGTGACCAAAAAATGTCACCCAAAAAGGGTAAGAGAGACTGTGTATGGGGCAACTTCTCTTTGAGATGCATCTCCTTTTCTGAACTGCTCTCTTCATTAGAATGAATACTTCTCTTTGTCAGGCTTCAGTGATTTCCAATGGAAAGAAAATGACAGCCTGAAAATGCAGCACATACTTTACAAGTCTAGAAATTCTGGTTCCTGTTAAATGAGTCTTCCGAGGACAGGCAGGCCTGACATGCCTTTACTGGGTCCCACCACTCAGAGGGAAATGCCACATTTGTGTGGTCACCAGTCTCAGAAAAACGCCACAGCTTACGCTCCCCTCCCATCCCCTCTGCACACGCTCTTCATCTCCCATTTGCCAAAAAAGCCTTCCTCTGTGGGCTTCTCTGAAGCTTCAAGTGATGATCAACCTTGAATGAAGTGTTCCCACCTGTGTCCGGAGCCCGGCTCACCCCCAGCTCCTAGCACCGCCCCTCATCACACCATCGTTAAGTCTCCTAACTGCCTGCGGCTGTCACACTTAGCAACTAAAAATACAAGTCACTCAGTTACATTTGAATTTCAGATAAACACCACATATGTTTTTAGTATATCCCAAATACTGGATGAAAAAATATTTACACTAAAATTATTTTACTTATGTGAAATTCAAATTTAATGGGCATCTTGTATTTTATTTGGCAATCCTGTACCACGCAACAGTTTATTTGGTCTTAGGTACCCTCTATTAATATCTGGGTTATCCAAATATTATCTCAAGATTGAGGATCTCACCTAATTTATCCTTAGTTCAATGATATAAACCCTGTATGGATATGCAGTAAATTATAATTCAGATGAGAGTTATAGTCTCAACACAAAGTTCCATCTCTCCCGAGCTGCCACCCGTGGGTAAACACGTGCATGATCTCGCTGCCTTCTCCAGAGGGATGGGAGGGGTGGCAGCGAGTGACTGATGGGTCTAGGACCACTTCTCACCTAAAGACCTTAACACTTCCCTTCACCAGCAGCCCTCCGAGGGCTCAGACAACAGGAACTGGTCACTCCGGTTACCTGAGCACCTGGCCTCCGCAGGCAAAGCCCCTGGCTTCTGAGACTGAGGAAGAGGAGCTGGGAATGGGACCATGAGAAAAGGGTCCACGCTTTCAAACCACCCCTCACCCCGGCCAGCGGCCAGTCTCGCTGCCAGGAAGCAGCAGCCACGGCCTGGCGGGCTCTCTTACCAGTGTGTGTGAGCATGTGCCTCTGGAGGGAGCTGGCCCAAGGGAAGACTCGGGGGCAGTGGGGACAGTTGATCTTCTGCAGGCAGTTGGCGTAAGAGTTCCGCTTTGCCCTCAGCAGCTTGTCTTCGGGGGGACTGCCCTGTTCTTCATCACTGGGCCCGTTGTGGTCGGTGGGGGTGCCGGCCACCTCGTCCTGAGCGTCGTCCTCTGCCGTCTGCAGAAATGGACTGAACTTGTTGGTGTCCGTGGTGGCCAGCATCTTCTCGATGCTGGCGAATTCCCCGCTGGAGTCCAGGTCCACCCCGCCACTGCTGGTGCGGGGTCGGCTCCTCAGCCCCTTTTTCCGGCCCCTCTTCTTTGACAAGCCAACTGACCCCTGCTCGGTGGGTGAAGCTGCCTCTGGACTGTTGGCAGCAGGGGGTGGGTTGCTGGATTCTTTTGGGCTGGTGCTGTCAGTGGGGGCACTGGCGGCTTTGGGGACGGTGCCTCCTAAGCTGTCTGAAGCTGTGGGGTTACTGCCAGTGCTTGCGGGCCCTGGGTCAGCCACCTTGGTCTTCAGCAAGGTGGGTGCCGAGGATACGGATGAGATGATCTGGGCGATGGAGGCCAGGGGGGGCAGCTCTTCTGTCACCGGGGGCTTTGGCAAGAGCAGGGGTGGCTTGGGACGCAGGGGCCGCAACAAGGCGGGGCTGCTTATGAGGGTGGAGTTGCCCAAGAGAGGGGAGCTGTTGAGGAGGGCTGATGAGTAAATGGGGACAGCGACCTGAACGGAGCCCTGCAGTGGCTGAGCGGGGGCTTCCATAGTGGCTGCCGAGGCTGCTGCTGAAAGGGCCGAGGGTTTTTCCAAGATCCCGCTGGGCCCCAAGGTCACTGGCAGAGTAGGGCATGGGGGTGGACAGGGGGAGGACTGCTCCCTGCTCCCTGGTTCCTGCTCAGGATTCTTGGCTTCACTGGGAGCAGCAGAATCCTTGTCTCCTCTTCTGAAGTTCTTGGGGATGGAAAGGTCAATGGGCTCCATGGAGCAGTCATAGGGGGCCGTGGACGAGGGGCTCAGGAACAAGGCTGCGTTTTCCTGCTTCACTTGGACCAGGGCCAGGCCCTTCTGGGAGAAGTCCAGGGGCTCATTGAAGTCTACGGAGAAGTTGCTGGCGGGCTCTAACTTGATGGTGACGTGGGGAGGCGGAGGCTGAGTGGGAACCCCATTAAGATAGCCATTCTGGGACTCCAGGAAGGTGGCAAGGGGTTTGCGCTCGCCAAAGGCCCCACTGCCCTCCTCCATCCTCCCCGAGGCCTCGGCAGCAGGGGCCTCCTTGGGGCTCAGGCCATCCGCTGCCAGGACGTAGCTCTCGATGTCCTGCTCTGGCACGTGCAGGTGCTGCTTAAGGATGTGGTGGATGCAGTTGCGCTTGGCCGAGAAGGCGGCGCTGCACTCCTTGCACTCAAAGGGCTTGTGGCCCTTGGGGCAGCTGCCCAGGCCGGGGCCGCAGTGCGAGCGCATGTGGATGCGCAGGGCGCGGTAGTGCTTCAGGTCCTCTCCGCACAGCCGGCATACTGTGTCTGGGGAACAGAAGGCGTCCACCATCTCAGCCGCGCTGCTGGTCACGTACTCGATGTTCTTCTCGATGTCCTTGCGGGTGGCCTTTAGGTGCTTCTTGCGCAGATGCCGCTCACAGTTGGCTTTGACAGTGAAGGGGTAGTGGCAGATCTTGCAGATATAGGGCCGCTCACCACTGTGTGTGCGCAGGTGGCGGATGAGGGCGGCCTTGTCGGCGGCGATGTAGTCACAGATGTTGCACTGGTATGGAGAGATGCCCAGGTGGGAGCGCACGTGCGCACGCAGCACCCCTGAGAAGGCAAACACCTGGTTGCAGAAGCGGCAGGGGTAGAGCACCTTGCGCATGGCTGGAGATTTCTTGCTGCCGGGACCCGTCATGATGGCCTTGAGGTCTCCCTCTGTGATCTCCTGCTTGATCTTGGCGTCCATGCTCAGGGGCAGCAGGGCCTCGATGATGCTGTCCTGCTCCAGCTGTGTCTTCATCTCTGCCTGGCCAGGCAGCTCCACCCCAGGCTGCTGCAGGAAGAGCTGCATGGCCGTGTGTGGCTGGGCGCCAGACTTGGGCTGCAGGAGGTGGGCGTTGGAGGCCACCTCCACCGAGCCTTTGAGAAGCTTCAGAGGCGGTGGGGGAAGGCTGGGACTGATGCAGCCGGGGGAGGCCTGCTGGGCATTGATGAGAGGGGGTGGTGTTGAGGTGGCCACCACCGTCCGTGGTGTGACCAGGGGCTTTGGCTTCAGCGGGGGCATGTGTTTGAAAATCGCCTGCAGCGGGGTGACAGGGGCCTTGGAGAGAGGTGGAAGACTGATCTGAGGGGGCGCTGAGGCTGCCATTTTCAGGATCTGCTGGATGTCAGCCAGCTCAATGGCCGACTCCCCGGAGATGGGCTTGACCACAATACTACTGTCGGGTTGTATGATGAAGCCCTTTTGGAAGGGCTGCAGGGACAGGTGCTTCATGTTCTCCTTGGTAGCTGGGAGGACTGTGAGAGAACTGCCCAGGGAAGAAGCTTCGAAAGGAGATAGCCTCAGCATGCTGGTACAGCCAGGGTCCTGAGGTAGCTGACACTTGAGTGTCTGGAGCTGTATTGCTTGGTTGTCATCTGGCAGGGGCTCCTCGGCGGGGACAGGCCTCACATCTTTGGTGTGCTGCAGGCTCAGCAAGGCCAGGAAAACCTTCTGGTCCAGGGTGTCACCAGACAGGGTCTTGGCTTGCAGCCTTTCCCGTCCCTGGTCCCCAGCGATGTGGGTCTGCTTGTGCAGGGTGAGCGAGGAGAGCATGGGGAATGCCTTGTCACAGACATCACAGACGAAACGGTGCTGCTCGCTGATGCACCTTCGCAGGTTTGTCTCACACCAGGCCTGCAAGAGCAAGAAAATAAAGAGCACTTAGAAATCTTCACTAAAATATCTGCTGTACAGCTGCTCCAGTATCCAGCTTTCTCCATAACAGGTAGCTACCTTTCCCTGCGCACTAACTCCTGCACTGAATAAGGAAAACGACAAGTGCCTGAAGAATCATGTTTTCTTGAATGACATCAATCCCCAGGGTCTCTCAGCAGAGAAGCAATGAAGTATAGTAAAGTAGAAATACCACGATGGTAGGGTTTTCTTTTAAAAAATGGGTGCCTTGCAAAACTAACTGATGGGGACTACCTACCAGCAGTGGAGAACCAGCCATCTCTGTGACGCCAGGAGAAAGGGTGTGCCACCTGGGCCCTGGGAGAGTATGCATGCGGGCGCCTGCATGTGGCATTGAGCTTGAGGCTTACGCATTGGGAGAATTTCACTAATGTCACTGTTATCTTCTATCTCCATTTTTAAAAAGATTTTATTTATTTTTATTTTTAGAGGGGAAGGGAGAAAGACAGAGAGGGAGAGAAATATCAATGTGATCGGTTGCCTCTCGCATGCCCCCAACGGGGGACCTAGCCTACAACCCAGGCATGCGCCCCTGACGGGAAATCAAACTCATGACCGGTTGGTTTGCAGGCCCGCGCTCGATCCACTGAGCCACACCAGCCAGGGCTCAATTTTTAAAAATTGGAAAAAAGTAGTTTCAAAGTAGTCTTAGCAGGTGCTTTTAAGCAAAGAATAAATATAGCTCAGGTTAATAATGACCAAAAACACTTTATACAAAAACCTATTTTGTATATTTTGCTGTAATGTAATTAAAGAAACATTAAAAAAGACAAATTCAATTGTGACAGGGATGGCGTTGGGGTGGTGAACAATTCACAACTTTAATTCCAAATGCCCTAAGAAAGGGCAAAAGCACTGATAAGCTAGACTCAGATACAAGTGAATATGAAATTCAAAACAAAATTAAAGGCCACCTACACTTCTCAACCCAACAACTTAAAGACTAAAAGGGCCAAAATGAATTTCAAGAGAAAAGATGGTGTTAGAAAAACAAAACCAAATGGACCTCATTTTAAAGAAAGGAAGCCTCAGGGTGAGGAAGCGAAGTCCAACTATGCAGACCGTGGAGGAGGAGGCTGCTGGTTCTGCCGGCCGATGAGCATACCTGAGAAATCCGAGGAAATTTCCTACAGGAGAAGTCAGTGAATCCCAAGTCGTGGAAGCCAGCGGGAATGGAAGGGTTGTTCTGGATGAAAGGCCTTCCCATCGCGTCTCTGGGAAGCTGTTTGTGGACAAGTGCGTTGTGGCGTAGCAGTCCTCGGTGTGTCCGAAAGGTGACGCAGCAGATGTCACATCTGGGAAGAGGAAAAGGACAGGATGTAAGGAAGCAGCCAAGTCAGAATTTACACCTGTCCATTTGTCCTGTTGTATTTTTTTTGTCGCTTCATTTTTAGGTAAATAAAAATATAATGATAAAACAAATCATAATAAATGAAAATGCTAGAAATAATATGACATCAAGAAGCCAGCCTGCTCATGGTTGACAACAAAACACTCCTCCTTTAAAAAAGAATTACATCCTAACACCTTCTGGAGAGAGAAGCTTCGCAGACAGCGCAAGTGTGTACACTGTCAGAAGCCTACTCGTCCTTCCCCAATTACATCCCATAGAGTGAGCATTTCAAAGGTTTTCTCCCTCTCTTTGCTCAGTGGCTTCTAATCATAAAACATGTTTGAAAGTCAAAAAGCACAGGATTACACATCGTGAGCAATCACATCAACATCCCTGGTATCTGATCGGGATAAAACGATAACCAAATGCTTCAACTAAAGAAGTAACATGTGACACTTTATGTATTCAATTCTGATATTATCATCATCACTATCTGACAAATAACCACAGCTCCCACCTACTGAGCCCATGCCAAGTGCAGGACACCCCACGGGGAAGTGTGCACGATTCTGGTAGCTGGACGGACGGGCATCCTGACCTCCATTTTAACAGGTGAAGACCTCAGGCTGAGGTCACGTAGGTTGTAAGAAGCAAAGACAAAATGTGAGGCCTGTTCATACTCCACTGTCACCTAATGTAGGCTGTCTCCTTTTCCTAGTAAATCCCCCACAAATGCAGGCCCTCTAAAGATCATCATGCTTCACCTTAGAGATGACCCTCTCCTTCACCTTAAATGTCCTGGGCCACACATGTGCCAGAAATACCACTTGAAAATACTTTCTCCACTTTTCACACCTACATTGTCCTTCTTCTAGGTCTTCACTGAGAATCACCATTTTAAAACTATGCAATCAATAAAAAACAAAACTATACAATCACTAAGATATTATCAACATCCTCTACACCGGCAATTTTCAACCTTTTTCATCTCGTGCCACACATACACTAATTAATAAAATTCTGCGGCACACTAAAAAAAATTTTTTTGCTGACCCGACAAAAAAAATAGATATAATTTTGATTCATTCACACCACATGGCTATTCTTGTGTTGGCTACTGTCATTTTTTTATTTGACAGTCTAAGGGGAAAGAGGTCAGTGTCCCTGACTAAATAGTCAGGTATCACATGTTTTAAAAATTCTTGTGGCATGCTGGTTGAGAATCTGGACTGTCACCAGAGCTACATGTAAACTAGCCAGAACTATTTAAATGTAAACTAATTAAAATTTCCGCAGTCACATGAGCCTCATTTCATGGGCACATTCCCATGATCATAGTGCCACATGCCAAGCATCATTCCAGTACTTACGTGCCTAAGTGCGTCTGCCCCTCACAGAACCTCCAAGGCAGGCCCTATTATCGTCTTACGGAGAAAGAACGTGGGGCACAGTGGAATAAAGCAACACTGCATACACCTTAGTGGCAACTTTTTTTTTGCTTTGAAATTCTTCTTTGGAAATAAAGAGATAATGAAGTCACCTGTGAAGCAGCTAAGCTCATTTTCATCTGGTGAAGAAGTACCAAGTATGTGCAATTCTGCTTCCTCCATCACACACAGGCCAGACATGGCCAATGCGGTCCTGCTGCATATCTGCCTCTCCTATCACCACTGCTAACTCAGCTGCATCTTGCCATCAAGATTCCTGTCGTCATTCAACTAAATTTAGAATACTGGGTTCCTCCAAGCCACTCAAAACGCAAAATGCCTTTTGAGGGAATTCTGCTCAAGCTTAGCATTGTGATAAAGGCTCTAGGGAAGAGATGGCTTTGAGAGCCCCAAGTACCTTTAGGTATTGAAAGTTCTCACAGAAGTGGGCCCAGGGAAACCTCCAACCACAGAAACTATTCTTTGCCAAAGCACCAAAGAGCTAAATCACAGAATGTGAGACAGTTATGTAGGGAAGCAGAATGGTTGCAGCCACTCTGGGTGAAGCTCTTTCTGGCCGGAACATGGTCAAATTCCACACCGCATACTCCAGGGAGTTCCCACCCTTGGAGCCCCACAGCCACTCTGTCCTGTCCTACTGCCCTAGAAAGGGCACTTCCTCTCCTGTCACCCTGCCTTGGTTCTCCCAGGCTCAAGTTCAGTTGTACGCTCCATGTGGTCACCAATCCCCATGCCACCAATTTGCAGAAAGCTTTGTAGTACGGTGAAAGGAAGAGAAAACCTTGGAATTGGGGAAATTTAACACTAACCAGACATTAGATGATATTGGGATATTACTGTTAATTTTTTAGATCAGCGATTTTCAACCAGCATGCCACAAAAAATTTTATACATGTAATACCTGACTATTTAGTCAGGGGCACTAACCTCTTTCCCTCAGATTGTCAAATAAAAAAATGACAATAGCCAACACGACAATAGCAATCTGGTGTGGATGAACCAAAAAAATCTTACAAATGGTTAATGAGAGTGGGCTGACTTCTTGACACCTTTTCCAAGTTTCAACAATGTCTAAACCACTGTTTGCAGGTGTGTGTGTTGGGGCTCAATCTATAACAACTCCAGAAGAGAAGCCCCTGCGCTGAGTCTCACTGTGACATGGGCAATGTGAAGGAGCCTATTTGTCCAGCAAATGCACTGGACAGGCAGAGGGGGCCAAGGATATGGAGGGAGGCGCCTGGCCCAGGGCTCAGGTAGGCCCCATGTCGTGGGATTTACAGGCTGGCAGAGCAAGCCTGTGGGTCCAGATTATGGCCCATCTGGTTTGGTACTTTATGAACTAGATATAGGTCACATTTTCTCTCTCCCCTTTCCCTTTCCCTCTATCCTGACCGGCGCGTGAGCAGGTGAGGTTTGGGGACCTGTGGGGGATAGACGCTGGTCTGTGTCTTCCCTGGAACATGGACTAAGAGAAGAAGGTGAGAAAGACTGGGGCAAGCTGTAACCCAGTGGGCCCTACAGGCATCTTCCACGTGAACCCTATACAAACGCACACTCCTCAAATTCATAATTAGCAGTGCCTATATACATTTTGTATAGAACATTTGCAGTGTTTTAAGTTAATTTTTACCAGTGCCAGTTACTGTCCTTGGTGCTGGGACACTGCAACAAACACCTAAACTCATTTCGCCCTAACAACCAGCGAGACAAGTAACACTAATAAGACACAATGACTGTGTGATCCTTCAATCACACCGGAAAGTTGAGGCCTGTTCCTAAGCTCATCTTTCCCCTGAAAAACCGCAGTGCTTACTCTGCCTTGCAGAGAGGGGCTCGTTAACCAAAGTCAGGTAAAGTGGGGGGCATGCTCATAGAAAGTAATTCATGTGTACCTTGAATACTTTACTTAACCTACACAGTTAAATAAACTGTGAACACTGAGGATGAAGAAGGACTCCTGGTGGCTAACTGGGCAAAAAAACAAAACAACAAAAAAAGCAAGCAGAGCCTAGCAGCCATTTCTGCACAGGGACCTCTCCCCAAAACTGCACATTGAAGAGAAACGTCCTTGCTAAGCTGCCAGTCTCTGCACAGAACTGCCTGCCTGCACTGTGTTTCTTCAGCCTGAGCCAGTCCTTATAAGGGTTTCCTGGAATCCTATTTCAACCAGTAGGATCAAGGCTTTCCCTAGCCAATCAGAGCTGCTGCATTCTGACCAATCAGGGACCAGTGGTGGGGACTCCTGTCTATATAAGCCAGCTCCTCTCCAGCTCTGGGAACACACCTTCCACAAAGACTGCCTTTCCTTGACTGGGGCTGAGCCATGAAGACTTCTCACTGGGGCAGAACAGACCTGCACCAATCAGAGCGAAATGGGGCAGAGCAGAGCAGACCAGACCATTGCCAGACCATTGCACAGCTGCCTAGGTGAAGAGGGGCCCAGCCTCAGGGCCACCTGGCCTCCAGGCAGCCTCACAGCAAGCTGGTCCACAGCAGCACTGTGTTTACGGCCATGCTGTATTACCCCTGAGCTGTTTGCACTAAATAAAGTTTCCTTCTTCACCGCACCCAAAATTGGGGATTCCTGTTGGTGTTTGAATTGGCGCCAATAACCAACAGATGACAAAACACATTCAGTTGATCCTCATTATTTGTGGATTTGCCTGTTCATTAAAATTTACTTGTAACCCCCAAATTAGTACTTGCAGCACTTTCTTGGTCATTCATGGATGTGCACAGTGCTGTGAAAAATTTGAGTTGTCCTAGGCACACATTCCCAGCTGAGGTCAAATGAGGAGACACTTGGCCCTCTTGTTTCAGCTCTCATACAATAAACAAGTATCTTTCTTGCAGTCTATTTAGTGCCACAGACTATTTATAGTGCTTTTTGTTGGTGAATCTGCTGTTTAAAATGGCCTCCAAGCATAGCGCTGAAGCACTGTCTAGTTCCTAAGTGCAAGAAGGCTGTGACGTGCCTTATGTAGAAAGTTACCTGTTTTAGATAAGCTTCTTTCAGCCCTGAGATACAGTGCTGTTGGTTCTGAGTTCAACATTAACAAGTCAATAGTACTTATTAAATAAGGTGTCTTTAAACAGAAAAACATGTAAAATGAGTGTTGTGACCCTGTTTTCTTTAGGATCAATGGTTCAGTATTTATTAATTCTGTGTTCACAGTGCCTTTACAGAAAATACTTACAGTGAATAACAAGAACTGACGGTACACTCATTCACTCATTGTAACTGTGAGTCTGGTTCTACCGAATGAAGTTCCATGTTTCTGTCACTGCATGAATCATACTCGTAACATCTTTGATTCCAAACTTAGATTCCCCTTAAGGGAGAGAAAGAACCTACATTTTGGCAAACCAAACTAAACCAGAATCCTCTATTTTTACGATTTCTCTTGATTGTTTATAGGTGTCTTGCCCACCCTAAAATGACACTTGTAAAAAAAAGAAAGGGTCCAATTTAGACAATAAACAAGACTGTCCAACTTAAGACTATTCTTTTTTA